GAATTGTGTCCAGAAACTTAGCGTGACTGCGGGCTGTGTGGTCATCGACCTCATCGTCGACAAGTGGCGCCATTGCGACCAAAATGTTCTGTACTTTGCCATCGTGTCGAAAGGATGCAAAGATTGCGACGTAATGCTCTGAACGGAAGGTCCACCCGTCGAAAATGATACCAAACGACTTTGGCAGGATACCAGCGATCACAGTTTCAACTTCACGGACTAGTAGGCAAATGTATTTCACGAGGCGGTCCGTCGAAAGGCTCCCAATCCTTACGTAGTTAGATGCCGCGACTGTCTCACAGAACGAGAAGGGCAGATTGCACGAGAGCACAACGTTAGTCCAAGAGAAGACTGTGTGAGTCTTGTCATCGATGAACCCAACTAGCGTTCCCGTATTTGAGCTGGCGCTGGTCATGTCCGCAACCCAGTTCGTGTGCCACATGAAGACGTGGCCAAGTAGATTTGGGTAGCCAGTGTTAGGCTCCATTCGGCGTTGGACACCACAGCGACACTTGTATACTGTAGTAGGCGCTTCGTCATCGTCGAGTACAGCCTTGAAGTAGAAAGGCGCCACTTGCTTCGACGTGAACGGGTCCGTGCTGACCATCTTCTTCGACGTCTTGGCCTTCTTGGAATTCTTTGGCGCTCTGGATGGGGCTGAAGCTGTCTTTCGACGCGGCTTTGGAACACTCCACGGGGTCTTCGCAGGCATCGTATTGAGTTAAGTAGACAATGGGCTGTGAGGGTATTGCTCCAACTGAAAATGCTAAGATGTCGGAGGATTGATGCGCCATAAATCGATAAACGTGATCCATTTAAAGCCTGTGGAGAAGTGATTGTGAACCGGTCTCAGTAAGACCGGTTACAATAGGATTATTGGTGACACAGAGCACAAAAAATTGCAACCCTTCAAAGAAAAGCTGAAAATAAATAATTTTTCGATCAATATAGAAAAGTAATTAATAAAAATAGTATGTTCGGAACCCCTGGCTATACGTCTACTTGACGGGGACACGGATCCGTACAGTATCGTACCATTCAAAGCGCTTCAGTGGATATGTGATGCCGCGAACGAGGTACCGTTACAGGATATTAGAAACTACTGGAGGCATGCTGGGTTTTACGTTGATGACGTGAAATTGACATCTACAGCTGTACTCAATCCAATCGAGTAAGATATTAATTTTTTAATACAGTACATTTGAGACCTCTTCAATTGTTTTTACTTATGTAACGTAAACGCCTTCAGTACTTAGTTCGTTGAACCCTTTCTTATTGCCGCTACTCCCTGTACATTATTACTACTGTAGGCAAAGGCGACTCGTCTGGCGAGGGTGAATCAGGGGTTAATGGTAACGTGAAGTTAATATAGTGATAATATCACCTGGTAGACCAGTTAATCTAAAACATATCACCTAATATTTTCGTCTTAGACAAAATAATATTATTAAATATCAACCTAATATTAGTTTGAACATTATATTTCTCAAAGATTGCGTAATCGGAATTAATCCACCAATCATGTATCGTTAAAGATTGACTAACTGAAGTATTACTAATCAACAGTTAGAGAAATGGAGTCCGGGACGATTCTGAAAGTGACGGCAAGGTTGGTGTGGTGTGTTGGCACTGCTAAGCGCATTAATCTAGCGTCACAGGCTGCTCGTTTATGAGACGCACGATCTGGACGAGGCTATCGGCAGATAACAAGAACAAATATCTTAATTTCGCTCTATCGACTTCAAACAAATGCAACTGTTTGCAGTTTTCCATCTCGATCGGCTTTGTCTGTGTCACAGTAAAATACTCGAGCAAATACTTGTCAGTTTCAAAGCCTGCCATCACTACTGCTGCTTTATAGCTCGACTGTAAGAGTTCTTAGGTGAACCCTCGGTTCACAGAGGGCAAGGTGGCAAGAAACGTACTTAAGTGAGAAAATATCAGAGCGGCACGCCTACATAATAGCGAGATGTTTGGCGCCAACCCTTCGCGCCAACACTTCGAATCTATTTGCACGCCAGCATCCACGTCCAGTTTGCAGTCTCTGGTCACATTCGACAAATTTCAGCACAAAACATCTTTTAAAATCGATGAATATGGAACTTCAATGTCTTTGAGCACGAGTCCTCCTTACTCATGCACCTTTACAAACTACTACCTTCCCATCCCTCTCGCAGTTTTGATCAAGGGTCATCCTCGTGTTGAATATCGTGATGACGACACCTAGCCGACTGGCATCTGCAGATGAACCACATATCATCTATAGTCGACCGTGACCTCTTGGCCGCGGCGGATGTGTTTGGCGCTTGCTACGACAACAGGGACGCGACGCCCGTTGCTGACCTCGACGAACTTGACCACCGGCTCACATGAGTGGTTCCGGAATCTCATTAACGCACCCATCTTCTCCGCATTAATCGCAGAACGGACCGGCTAACTTGGGCGTTCAGGTCACTGGTCCAGTAGGAGACGAAACCCAGTGTTGCGCGATCGATCGGAGCGCGCAGCACTGACGTGTTCGACCTTACCGAAATACTGACCCAGCACCTCGTCGGCATCGATGTCGTCAGCGACAATGACTGCCAAGGTGTTCGTGCGCTGGTTCCGCGCCAGAAGAACCTTATCGGATTCCGCCAGCCCGTTGCCGTGCGCGGCATCATAGGGGCAGGCGTTCGCGTTGCAGAGTACATGCATAAGTTAGCTCCGACACGAGTCCACTCGTCACGGGTCAGAGCACGTACACCACCCGAAGTGCTGGACTGTTGAGAATAGGGTCGCCAGCGGGTTATACAGCTCGCGCAAGTGAGCAACGCGACACGGCCACCGTGCGGGCACGAACGCGTCATTCGGCAGCGAAGCAGTGACCGAAAGCAACGACACACCGGAACAGTTGCGTCTCTCCTCACAGTTATCATGTAAGTGATGGCGAGAGTGCGAGCGACGTTGCGTCTGTGGACAAGAGTGTTGCGCAGGTGGAGTTTCACGGCTTGGTAGTGGACTCGCCACCGAAATCTCGATCGTGGTGGCGTCAGCCACGGAGGCAACGCTGTACCGGTGTCGCTGAGCTCCGCACCCTTGTTCAGATCGTTGCTGGATTGGATGATCGGTGACGTGTTCTCCTCTTTACTGGAGGTATCGCTGATGCAGCCTAGCCTCCAGTAAAGCGAGGAATGGGTCAGATGCACCATCGTTCCTGACAGTAGCGATGTTAGTACAAGTTGCTAAAAACCCTTCTTTTGAAAACGAACCCTGTGATATGGAAGTCGGGGTCGTCTTCGCGCCTCCGAGCGCAGATTTGAGAGTGAACGGCCTTTCAGTTTGGCGGAAGATCTATGTAGTCGGCAAAGTACCCTAAGAGTGATGACCAGCATATTAAATACAAAAATCAAGAAAAACACTTACGGCTACACGACTTACTTTTAGAGTCAGGGCTATTTATCGAGACGAAATCTACGACTTTCCGGATTTATGCGCGTAATATTATGCCGCCTCGGAGCGAAAATCCGGAGCGGTTCAATCGGCCGGTTAGGATATTTAGATTAGAACTCACAATGACATCCTATGACTAAGAGAGCAGATACTGTTAAACAACGTGCCTAATTTGTGATCTGATTAATGAAAATGAAGATACCGTTTTAGGCAAGCTGTAGCAATTGATTATATTCAAATTTTGTATATGTAATGGTAAAATAGTATCGCCGAAGCAAAGCGGAGGCGGTAAGGTTCAGCATAAATTGGTGGATTTCGTACAAGTGGTCCAATGAGATCGCTAGAAAGAATGTGTTGGTGAACACCAAATGCGGCTACCAAAGTGGAATCAGATCCACATCCAAACCACCATTTTGGGGCCTGGCGGACGTGAACGGGAGAGCGTACCCACCAATGGTGATTCATGAATTATTATTTATCATCATCTCTTTCCGCGCTAAGAGATTAAGCTCTGTAATACATCGCCATCAAGCGTTATTAACCCTTTCAACCATATATTCTGTATCATACATAATGCAATCTTGCGCCTCTTAGCGAGTGTTACACACGTCGATCGTGATTACGCTGATGTGTATAGGATCGCCATATCGTAATGAGCATTTACTGCAAATTTTGTAAAATTTCGCTAATAAACCTACGAATTCCGAAAAATAACAGTATTGCCTCCAAAAATGATAGCGTTATTTAGTTGCTGGTCGCTGTTATGAAGCCACAAAAAATATAGCGAATAGCACGCTGACTCAAGCTTTCGAATAAGGGTGCTTAGACTTTTACCAAGATCGTATTGGTTGTGCTACTTTCAAAAACCCAAAAGCCCTATAAATTGGTGGGACAGAGAAGTATGGCATTTTGCTTGGCAGACGCATCAACCCTGGGGAAACAGAGAAGTATGGCATTTTGCTTGGCAGACGCATCAATCCCGGGGAAACAGAGAATCCTATTATTAATATTCATTAACACAAGAAGCGTGCAGAAAAGATGTTTTAGGAGCTGTTGGAGTTATTCAAGTCCGCTTTAGATTTATCGCATTACCATGCAAGTACCCATTCTCGAGCGGATATGGCGAAAGCCAGTATCATCATGCATAACATGATTTGCGAAGAATCTCGCAAGGTTAACTACGACACCCACAACTACTTGTTTGAGTAAGGTGCTCACGACACTGCTGATTTTGATTTTCGTATAAGTCGCCCTGAAGGAAGAATGCCAAGATCTATTGCGGAGCTTTCCTCTCGAATCGGAGAAATAGAGAATTCAAGGCTTCATTTTCGATAACGAGATGATCTCATTGCCCACCTTTGGCAATTTTATGCTTATGAATAACAGTAATTAAACAATCCGTTTTATTTTATTTCTTATTGAGAGTGCGGCTTCTACATTCGATTCGTATAATATGATGATAGCTTCCATTGTGCACTACAAAAAAGAAGTAAATAATGTCTCATTCTGGCGTGTCCTGAAAGGATATTGATCCAGATTAAGTTTGTTATGAGTTAAACGTGAGGTGGTTGCTAGCTGTTTATCTGGATGTCCAGGTCCGATATTGCAATGGTGCCTGCCATAGAAGGAGAGATTGTTGTACTCTGCCCCACTGAGACATATGTGGCTGATGCGTCCTCTCGTTGCGATTGTGGTAGCACCGTAGTGTCCGCCAGCTCGTTCAAACGTCGCAACAGGATGGATAACCGCGATTTCAGAAACGCTGCATGATCTGAGGATGTAGGCGTGACAGCAGAGAGCTCGTTCAGCATTGTGTGGAGTGTTTGCTCTTGTTGAAGTCGCTGTCTAGATTTAGGAAGACCAATCTGATCCTTCATAATTTCAACCTTCGCCTCCATGCTCGCGCTGAACTTCTCTTGTGCTTGCACTGTTCGGATCTGCACACTTTAAACTACCTCCGGTCTTTTCGTCGTCTTCTTACCATCGGGTCTATCAGTATCCCCAGACGTTTGAGATGCAGACCCCTCAAACACATTCGGTCTCGAATTCTCACCATTGGACTCCGCGTGGCGCTTGGACCCGAGATCAATAATCATCTCGAGCTTGGGACAATTAACTAGCTGGTTGTAACAATCAATATACTGGAAACGTCTTTTATATTCCGTATTGTACTGTAGATGTGCCCTCTCCATCATGTCGTTTTCGTTGGCTCCGGACTGGTTTATGGCCTCGGCCTTCTTGCAACAGCGTATAAACTTCGAGATTGATTTCGAGATTTGACCAAAATAAGATTGAAGGCTGGTCCAGGAGCGAGGTTGAAGCGAGATATCCGCCAGGGATTTTGCAATAGGCACTGAAATTCTCCATTTCATCTTTCACTCGCGTCCAATATTTATCCGCGTTCTGGTCGGTGCCGACGCTTGCATCACTCGTCACGCGATCCCAGGCGTGAGCCAGCTCAAGATCCTCAACAGGATCGTAATTGCGACCCCATGCTAATATCCATTCCATCGATATATCCCCGGCAACGCCAAACCAGAAGTGATTGCTCTTGCGCGTGCTGGAGCCGGATAGATTGAGCTTTTGGCGCGAAACGCTGGCCGATATGGTGCAACAGGGCCTTTTTTGTCGAAGGCTATCTTGGGGCAATATTTGACCGCAGGATCGCCGGGAAATACCCATCGGTGCTGTGATTGCACTTCGCCGTCACTTCGCCTGGGTTCCTACCTCTAGGCACGTGCCTGGAGCACGCGGTTGGTGCGTGGCAAGCGTGCCCTGAGGGGTCATAGGTTGAAGTGGGTCGAATGGAGATATCTGATTGGCTGATCCCAAATGATTGGCATGGTTAAAGCCAGGGTCGGATTTGTGCATATCCATTCCACATACAAAACTCAAGTGATTTACGTCGCCAACGCCTATGACGAGTATAGGCGTTGCCGACGAAATGTATGTTTTGTTTGTGGATTTACATGTGATTAGGAGGACTACGGAGGAAAGTAGAAAGGAGCTAGCAAAGCAAGCCAGGAACAACTAACTCAATAAAACACACTTTCGGATTTCATTTCTTCTTAACCCTCGACTACTACAAGCCTCGAACGCATACTCTCAATTGGTTATGAGCCCAAGCTACGCCGACAACATCGACAAGCTCGTGGAAGACAGCTACTTCCACTGGTAGTTTGACATGCGGATGAAGCTTGCTCGTAAGGGTCTGCTCCCGCAGATCATCAAGCCCGAGGTAGACCAAGTGAGTAATCGCTCCACGGCAGAATGGAAGACCAACGATCTGAAGGCACTTGGTGTTATCGCTGGAGACGTGACTCTCACGTACCAAGTTTACGTCCGTGGAGCACTGACTGCCGCTGATGCGTGGACGATGCTCGAGGAACACTTCAACAAGAAGACGCTCAAGAACCGGCTTCTCGTCAAGAAGTTGAACAACTTCAAGATGGAGCCTGGAACCAAGTTCGCTTCCCACGTCGATCAGTTCAAGGAGATCGTCCTCCAAATGGAGACGATCGGTGAGACTCTGGACGAGACTCGCCAGCTCGTGTTGCTCCTTGACAGTTTGACGGACGAGTACAAGATGATCAGTACTGTCCTCGAGAACACGCCCAACGTGACGTTGGCCTACGCGATCCAAGCACTCCCTGGTGTTCAAGCCTCGGATGAATCGTCATCGGCTCAAGAGAAAGCTTTCGCTACGAAGAAGAAAGATTTCGGTGGCAAGCAACGTTTCAAGGGAAAGTGCCTCTACTGCAAGAAGCAAGGGCCCCGAGAGCTCGAGTGCCGTAAGAAGAAGGCCGACGAGGAATGAGGGCATGCGGCACGAGAGAAAGCGTCCGACTTCTCGTTCATGGCAACGAGTGCAATGACCAAGAGTGAATGGCTCGTCGACTCAGGTGCAAGCTCGCACATGACCAGCGTCCAAGACAAGTTCGTGTCCATGAAGGAGCTGAAGACGCCAGTCCGTATCACAATCGCGGATGGCACGAAGATCGACGCAGTTGCAAAGAGCACCGTCGGTATGAAGCTGATAGACGGGACGTCTGTCACGCTGTCGGATGTCCTGTACATCCCTGAAGCTAGTCGAAGGAAGCCTCATCTCGGCGTCGAAGCTGGCCGAGAAAGACGTCACCGCGCAGTTCAGCAAAAACAAGTGTGTCTTTAGCTTTGGTGGTGCTACCGTCATGGAGGCGAAGCGCTGTGGAAACATCTACAAGTTGAAGACAGTGGGGGGGCGAGGTGTGTCATGTTGCAACGACTACTGGTAAGGAGTCATGGGCTGTTGTGCACGCCCGACTTGGCCACATCCCGTACAAGCGCTACGAGGAGCTACTGACCATGGCAGAAGGAGTGCCTCGCGTCACGGGAGAAGTCCACGGGGACGACGTGTGCGCAGGCTGCTGCATGGGCAAGATGAAGGCTGACAACTACCCGAGACACCCGGAGAAGCTCGTCAAGAGTGCTGGTGTGCTTGACCTGGTGCATACGGACGTAATGGGCCGATGCAAACCACGACACCTGGTGGTTGTACGTACATCGTCACATTCATTGACGACTACTCACGCCACGTTACGCACTACTTCATGAAGGCCAAATCGGAAGTACTGTCGAAGCTCAAAACGTACAAGGCCGGAATAGAGAATGCAACCGGCAAAACAATCGAGCACCTGCGTTCGGACAACGGCGGTGAGTACACGCGCCGGGAGATTAAGGCCATCTCAACCGCAGCGGCAGCAAGCATGAGAAGACGGTGCCGTACATACCTCAGCAGAATGGACTGGCTGAGCGAATGAATCGGAGCCTCGTGGAGATGGCTCGCTGTATGCACTATCATGAGTGTGTCGACAGGAAGTGGTGGGCAAAGGCAGTTAGCACTGCGGCCTGAATCATCAATCGAATTCCCAACTCGGTCAATGTGAAGACACCCTTCGAGATTGTGAGTCATTCCAAACCACAACTCAAACACGTGAAGGTGGTCGGTGCAGCTGGATACGCTCACATCCCCGACGAGAAGCGCCGCAAGCTGGATGCAAAAACGCTCAAGTGTCGGTTCATGGGTTATGAGGAAGGAGTGAAGGGGTACCGCGTCCTCAACATGGCAACAGGAAAGGTGCAAATCGTGCGCACCGTGAAATTTATTGAGACAACTGATCCTGCGCGCATCATGACTCACTCGGATACCGAAGACGACACAGACGCATTGGTGCCAAGCGTGGATCAGATGTCGCTGAATGACTCCACGCAAATCGTTTCCACCGATGTTGAAGTTGCTGACGTGATTCCACTTTAACGTGACGTGAGCATGGATACTGCAATGATGCCATACGACTCGACACATCCTATGATTACTCGCTCGCGTGTTCGGCACATTGACGAGACAACGGATCCTGAGGAGGCACGCACCAGGAAGAAGCAAGCCATCCATGCTCTATCGTCGAGTGGGACAAAGCGTCAGAAGATGACTCAAGAGCGACCGAGGCCAAGTGGTAACGAGCTCGCCATTGTTGAGAGTAGACAGCTGATGGCTACCACCGAGGATGTCCCGAAGACGTACGCAGAGGTGACTACTAGTGCGGACCAAGACAACTCGAAGAAAGCGATTGCAAGTGGACTTAAGTCGCTAACGGACAGCGGTACCTGGAAGTTAGTGCCAAGACCAACGCACCAGCGCCCGATCGGTTGCCGCTGGGTGTTCGCGTTGAAGCGCAACGAGAAGGGACAAGTGATTCGACACAAGGCTCGTCTCGTGGCAAAGGGGTATTCACAACGACAGGGCATCGACTACGAAGAGACGTAAGCGCCTGTGGCTTACCTGAGCTCAATCAGGGCAGTGCTGGCCAAGTGTTGTACAGAAGGACTCGACATCGAGCCGTGCGACGTGGATACAGCGTTTCTGTACGGGAAGCTTGAAGAAGAGATCTACATGGAGTTGCCATAAGGTCTTCGGGAGCTACTGGCACTGGCAGAGACTCAAGGTGAAGATGATGTCGTCTGCATGACTCAAGCAGGCGTCTCGTGTCTGGAACGAGACCATCAACAACCATCTCAAGACCATGGGGTTTCAGGCTGCTGACGCTGACCCGTGCATCTACACGAGAGGTGCAGGTGATGACGAGTGCATCGTGCGTCTTTACGTGGACGACATGCTGATTGCGTCACGAGACAAGGCCATCATCGCGTCGGTAAAGGCTGGCATCGCCGAGAAGTTCAAGATCAAGGATCTAGGGCCCGCCCGTTTCATTCTCGGTATCGAGATCGACTACGACATCGATGGCAAGAAGCTTGGCATCTCACAACACGCATACACCGAGTCGATCATCAATACGTTCGGTCAAGAAAACGCGAAGTCAAGCCTGATGCCACTAGACCCAAGTCTACACTTGACTAAGGAGGACGGACCGGAGACCAATGAAGACAAGGCTAAGATGAAGTTGAAGCCGTACCGATCGCGCATTGGTAGCATCAGGTACCTGGCGTGTGGCACACGACCTGACATCTCGGTTGCTGTTGCCAAGTTGAGTCGCTTCCTGGAGAACCCTGGTGAGAAGCACTGGGATGCTGGAATCAAGGAGGTGCGATGTATGTTGAAGACCAAGGACGTGGGCAGCGTGTACGACGGATCGCAAGGAACAGAGCTCGTCGCCTACTCGGATGCAGACTGCGCAACCGCGACGGCAGACGCTCGGTAAGCGGGACAATGCTCATGATGTGCGGGCACCTGTGATTTGGCGCTCTACGTTTCAGAAGTCCGTCGCGCTAAGCTCGACTGAGGCTGAGTGCATGGCTCTGAGTGACTGCATCAAGGAAGTGGTGTGGATACGCCTACTGCTCAAGGACATTGGTGCTGAACAAGAGAGGGCTACGGTGATCTACGAGGACAACCAAGGTGCCATGGCGTTGGCGAAGAACGTCGGTTATCAAGCTCGTACCAAGCACATCGACATTCGCTACCACTTCATTCGTGAAAAAGTTATGAGTGGTGAAGTTGAGCTGGAGTATATGGAAACCAAGAACCAGCTCGCGGACTTCCTTACCAAAGGTCTGTCGTCGAGGATGCTACGCTACTTGATGATGAAGAGCAATTTGGACGTCAAGCTCGAGACGTCGAATTGAGTGGGGGTGTCGTGATTGCACTTCGCCGTCACTTCGCCTGGGTTCCTACCTCTAGGCACGTGCCTGAAGCGCGCGGTTGGTGCGTGGCAAGCGTGTGCCCTGAGGGGTCATAAGTTGAAGTGAGTTGTATGTAGATGTATGATTGGCTGATCCCAAATGGTTGGCATGGTTAAAGCCAGGGTCGGATTTGTGCATATCCATTCCACATACAAAACTCAAGTGATTTACGTCGCCAACGCCTATGACGAGTATAGGCGTTGCCGACGAAATGTATCTTTTGTATATGGATCTACATGTGATTAGGAGAACTACGGAGGAAAGTAGAAAGGAGCTAGCAAAGCAAGCCAGGAACAACTAACTCAATAAAACGCACTTTCGGATTTTATTTCTTCTTAACACTCGACTACTACAAGCCTCGGACACATACTCTCAGTTATCGGCAACAATCGTTTAGCTTTTGTCGGGATCGGTGCGAGCAAAATGAGCAAAATGAGCAAAAATCTGAGTAAAAATGAGTTTTGTCGCGGCTCTCAAATTACTGGGACTTTGTATGACCCCACCGTCCGCTCCAAACGGCAAACTTAGGCGGAATTTATAATAACTAATGCCGTGCGTTGCCCAGGAAATTTTGGATATTGCCAAAAGTTTGCGCCTCAGAGTGTGGAATCGGAGCCCCCACACTCTGAAAACGTTTTCTTAGGTAAGTAGCTAATTTTTATTATTGGAAGTGCTTATATTGGAATTTTTATTAC